GTCTGAAGTCAGATACTCTTCCTTCTGCCTTATGCACTCAAGGCATGCAATAATTCCCCAGAACTGTACTGCTTGTCACATCTCATTGCAGTTATAAAATTGCCCTATTTTTGAAGAAAAAAAAGAAGGATGGAGATATATATATCTTTATATATATTATGAATATACAGGTATATATATTATTTATATAATCTCATTACACTAAAAGTAGTTGCAAAAATGTAACTAGAATTATAATATGTTACCATGTAAAACTCTATCCTCTGTTAACTAGCTTTGATTTAATATTTTAATATCTCTGTATTTATGTAAATCTGTGTAAATTATGTGGTCTATAAGTAAAATTTCATACTGACTTTAATTTTTCTCAGAACTGTGAGCTTCTTGTGGTGTCATTTAAGGTGGTTTTTTTATTTCTAAAGTTAAATTATACAAGATGTGAGAAGTTACAAATTCCTATTATCGCACAGAAATACTGCAATAAGGTTAATGCATACTCCCAATACAGAATCCTATCTTGAAGTATTGCGAGCTTGTGAGGTTTAATTGAATGGTCTCAGGAGATCTAGCTGATACAAGCAGGACACGTAGGTTTTCATTTTCATGAAACAATAAGCAATCTAGGGAATAGATGTGGATTTTTAAAACAGAGTTTATGCTTGGAGGTTCTGTCAAATCAATTGCTTCAAAACCCTACAGCTACAGCTAAACTTCTGCACTTAGCATTCAGTATTAATAACGCTGATGCTTCTTTCCCCTCCCCCCTCCTACTTAAACTAGAAAAGTGTAGGAAATTATTCATATTTCTAAAGCATACATTTTCGGCTAACTGTGAAACTACCCAGAGGGTTTTGAATATACATATTTTATGCAAGTGTAATATCTATGTATCTGTATCCATATATTTAAATATTTTTGTCTAACCTTTTCTACGATATTTGATAGAGATGCCGGGTAAATGCTTGTGCCATTCTTGTATGTGAGGAAGGATTTATACCCTCCCGATGTGGACATTCTTTTTCCTGTGAATTTGCACTGGCTTCGGCAAGTTACAGTGGAGACTGGGCAGCGGAGTGCTGACTGCTGGAAGAACAGACAGTCTTTCCTCTGTTAAGGGGCACATCCTCTGGCTGGATTTTCCTGGTTCTGAATAAGAAATTGGGGCCAGTTGCCCACTAGCATCCTGCATGTGTAAGAGTAAGAATTTCTGTGGCACTCAATGGTTCCTCTCTGGTCCTGTCATTGTCCCGTGGAAGAAGCACGACAGCAGGGACTTGTTTTGTAGATTCTAGCGAGGACTGCGAGCCTGATGGGTGATGAAGGGGCAAAGCTGGGGCTGGATTGGGGAGTCAGCCATGCCTCGTCCTGTGTTCACGTCCGTGGAGCCTGCTGCTGTCCCAAGGCTTCATCCTGTTGGCATCCAGGACTGGCTGCCACTGACTCAGGTGACTTGGATCCCGTCGAGCAACAGCTCTCCACATCACCACCACTCGGCCAGCTCTCCACCTATCCCGGCAGCCTCCACGGGGATGGAAACCAAGACATCCCATGAGGGCTGGGATGCTTCAGCCTGGCGACACTGGGGAACCTGTGCTGCAGCCGCCAGATCAGCTTCTACGGACTGAGGCGTTTAGGTTTCTACACAGATCTTGTGTGGACCATGGACAGGGAATGTCATTTCATTAAAATGTGTCATTCCAGCATTTTTTTCTGTGGGGATTTGTCTACTGCAAATATACTCCCAGATGAAATTTGCAGGCTCTGCATCTAGACATGTTTTAGCTTTTGATACATCTCTCTCAGACATATATCTGTATATACAGATATATATCTCGAAAGAAATGCTGGATGAAAAGCAAAGAACAGAGACTCCACATTACAGACAAAACCATCCTATGACTAAAAACTGGGAGGTTTTTGCTTTTATTTTTAATTACTTTTAAAGCCTACTATCTTTAATGTAAATATCAAGTTACTCTGTGATTAATGTTTTCCATAGCATTTCTGAGTAGTTGCTATCTTCTTTCTGGAGAACTATGTCCAGTGTCATGAAGCAACTGTGCTTTTCTTCTATTGTTGTGAATATGAGTGTAACTTTCATGTAGGGAGGACAAACAACATGATTTGACTCTTTAGACAGGATTGAATTCTTTTTAATCCAGTTACAGGACTTGGTTGCTGATTTTTCTTTCTAGTGATTATTCTCTCTGCACGTTTGTATTTTTTCTATGGGTACTTGAAACCCTACATTTTAATAGGTATGCAAGACATGAAGGGAAAAATGAAAAATTAAGTAGGAAACATTGTTTTTCCTCTGTTGTGTTAATAGCAATATTTATAATAACTTAGATACCATTTCATTACGTTTCTCATCTATATAGAAGTTGGCATGACTCATATACAAACCTTTAATAATGCTTTAATTTATGTTAGAAATTACAACTAGTTTTATCCAGGACTGTTTTTCTCATCTCTTTCTGATACCCAGCTCTTTTTTCCCTGAAGCCAAATTTTCCATCTGATTGCTAAATAAATTTCTAGTAGAACAGAGCCTCCTTCTGTTTTCAGTCTTTTACATTTAGGTCTCTGATCTGAATCCAGCCAAAGTCAGAAAGTATGTTGTGAACTTGCAAAACCTGGATGGTTTATGAGCCTTGAGGAGAGAGGTGACTGTCTGTCAAGCGGACAGGGTGAAATGTAGATGCTTAGCTTTCCCGTTTGGAGGTGTGGAAGTGAAGCCTCCCCATCCACTGGAGGGACTTGGGTGAAGAGTGACCCGTTCCAGCCCCAACAGAGACAAACAGCAGTCTCCTTCCTGACACTGTTGCTCTAAACCATC